AAGGACTCATCTCTCTATCTAGTTTAAGCGAAACCCAGGAAAGGTCCATAGCCGACAAATCGGTATATGTATCGATCGATCAACCATACACTCTGTAGAGGTTTTACATAACCACAAGATCCGCCTTCCTCGCTGACCGTCGTCAACTGGGTTGATTCCGGCCGCTTGCTAGCCTAGGATAATGCCACTCTACCATTCAGCCCTGGTACACCCCAAGTCCAGTCTGGGGTGGCTGAAACTGTGAGTCATGAGCCGGGTCCACAAGGTCTCCATGAAGTCTCGGAAGGGTGTGGGGGAAATCCTCCGCACCCCGTACCTCCCTCACACTGTCCGCTACCAACCTAACAGTAGTGGCAATATCCTACCAAGTAGTCCGGCCGTCCCGCACCATATAGGGCGAGTGGTACGTAAGGCTTTCCGGTGAGTCTGAGTACTAGTAAGTCCTTAGGGATGACCAAGCCAGAATGTCTCCATCAAGGTTTCCATTTACCGTGCCACCACAGCACCTCCACCCTAGGCTCCTCCCATCATAGGATCACACCCGGGGCCACCTCATATACATTTACCCACCATAGGTATCCATTCCAGGGGTGCCCAGGTAGCACCCCACGGCAAGACTTGCCCCAGGCTCGTCATATACTCCAACTTGGTCGACACAACCCTCACCCTCCATGCACCCAAGTCACACACGCAGCACTCTCCCCATGGTCTAGATAACACTAGTTTCCACCACGCATCAATGTAGTGGAAGCGTGGTAGAAGTAATAAGTGATGAAATGTAATAGCAAGCGTGTGACTAGCCTATCAACAGGGTGAGCAGGGGTAAGGTTGCGTCAAGGTAAAGGCCATCAAGAAAACATACTACCATGCAAGTCCTACCATAATGTGATCTTGACAATAAAGTAAGCACTAGCATTTCTATATTAGCCATGCATAATAGGTGCTACGAGATTGGGTGGGATGTGGCACCTTCAGTGTAGTCGTCTCCGTACTCCTCACGGTACTCACGATCCTCGTCCGTTCGGTTCTCCTCCGAGTCTGCAAACGTTCGCATTATAGTCGCATTAGCGACGTCTATAGAATAGCACAAAGAAGCAATAAAAATTCAAAAGAGCCAAATGCACTCAAACACGGGTTCATTGTGTAGAGCTTGATTTTAGATGAATTTTGGTCCTGGTTTTGTATTTTCTGAGGTCATATGAATTTGTTATGAATTTCCAAAGATTAAATCCATTTCTGAAAATGAAAAAGGCTGAATTAATCCTGGGCTGACATGTGTCATGCTGTGATTGATCCACGTGGCTTGCTGACATCAGACGTCAGCATCGCGGTTCCGAGCTGACAGGTGGGGTCCAGCTGATGTCAGCATGATGTCACCATTTGACGTGTGGGTCCAGAGTGTCTGTGCCACTGACATGTGGGGCCAGGTCAACGGTCAACGTTGACCAGTTAACGGTCAACACGGACTGGGTCTCAAACGGGCTCCGGTGGGCTTCGGGTTGGGCCGGGCCGGGCCGGACACGTGGCAAGCTGTGGCGTTGCCACATCACGGCCGCAGGCCTCTACTGGGCTTCGTCCACAGCTCGCGGGCGTGGGCGTGGCTCACGGTGGACCAGGTGGTGTTGGTCCATGGACCTAAGGCAGGGTCCCTGGTGGACCAAGTCCACCGTCATTTCCTTCGGCTCGACTCTTGTGCACCGAGTGCAAGGCTACGCTGCTCAATATGCCCCTCCTCCTCTGTTTCTTCCACGGCGCGCTCCCGCCGGCGACGTACTCACCAGCGAGCTTCCGCAGCGGTGCTAGCGCCCAATTGACGTGGGGAAAATCACCGTCAGGCTTTGGCGACTGCGATGGTGGGGTCGGGGCGACGGCTAGGACTCCCTAGGAGCCTGGCCACGGTGGTTGGCGGTTCGGCGGTGCCCGCCGACAGTGAAGTCGCCTGTGCAGGCTTCCTGGTGTCTCGGCTGGGCGGGTAAAGGCTTCAGCGGTTCCATGGGAGCATGGCGAGGGCGTCCAGTGCTCGAGGCGGGGCTCGGATTCTCATGAGGCCGGTAGGGGTTTCCCGACGGCCATGGCGGCAGTCCTCCGGACACGACGACGACGTTGGTGAGGTGGCCATGGTCACGGTGAAACGTCCCGATGGGGGCGTGTAAGCTTCTACGGATTCATGGGGATGCGGCGAGGACGTCCAGGCTCAAGGCAGGGTTCGGGTTCTCCTGTGGCCGGTGGGGGTTCTTCGGCGGCCACGGCGACATGGTGACGACGGCGAGGCGCACGGGTGCACTATGGGGCTCCAGCGGGGTGGTCATGGCATGCGCGTGAGTTACCCGTGGCTCCAGCGAACAGGATGGGCGAGACAAGGAGACGCCAGGCGTTCCCAGTGGACCTGGCCACAGTGGTCTGGTGCTCGGGTCGGTGGTGGTGGTGTTCTGCCGGTGGTCTGGTGCTCTGGCCGGTGGTGGCCACGGTGGTCTGGTGCTCTGGCCGGTGGTCTGGTGCTCTGGCCGGTGGTGGCCACGCCACGATGGCGGCGTTGCGAGCACGACGAGCGAGTGCTCTGCCTTGGCGTCCGTGGGGCTTGGAGGGGTCTACAGCGTCCAAGGGCTCGGAGGTGGTCGCGGTGTGCGCGTGAGTGTGCCGTGCGTGTGTACCCAATGGCCGGAGATGGCCTTGGCCTACGCGCTCACGATGTGGAGCGCCATGGCCGACACGGTAAGGTCTGGCGGCGAGCAGGGAGAGGCCGGAAGGCTCACCGTAGGTGTTGAGGGCGAGAGGATAGCGGTGCAGTGAAGAGTCGAGGCCGTGTAGCTCCGGAAGCCGTGCCGTGCAGTGTCGTCCGCTCCGGCTCCGGTGATCTCCCGGTCTTCCTCCCGGCAGTGGCTCCGGTATTTCCTTTCCCCCTTCTTCCTCTCCTCCCTCTTCTCTCTTGGCTAGGGTGTGCTGTGGACGGCCACAAGGTGGCGGCGGGGCACAGGAGAGCGCTAGGGCAACCGAGGGCCGTGGCTTTATAGCCGAGCTTCGAGCTCCAATGGCGGACGGCGATCGAGCGGTGGAGGCGTGATCAGTGGCATCCAATGGCTCGCGTGCGGTGGCGTAGGGCGCGGCGCGCCAAGGGTTTGCGTGGTGCGGCGCCAAGGAGGCAGAGGCCATGCCCCGGCGTGACCCAGCCCGCCCGCCATCACTGTCGGGCGCCGGTCAGCGTGAGGTGGTTGAGGCGTGGGTGAGGAAGAGGACATCAGAGACGGGTAAAGCGGGTGTCTGGTGACACGCTGGGTCCAGCGGAAGTGGGTCAGGCGAAGAAGAAGAAGGCGTGGGTGTGAGCAACCTTATTTGGGCATGAGTGGGTCACAGCACGCGAGTTGGGCCCGGTCGGTTGCTACTACGCTGCGTGCGCTTAGGAGGTGGTCAGATGATGGGGCTAGCTAATTTGGCTAGCTTGGGCCGAAAGCTACCGGTCATGCTGAGGCCCACTTCTTCTTTTCCTTTTTCTGTGTTACATTTCTTTTTCATTGTTTGGATTCAAATTTGGTTTAGAATTTGAATTCAAAACTGAGGTAACTTATTCATTGGAGTTTAGAGAATTTTGTTTAATAATAACTTTATGGTTTATTATTTTATTGGAGTCGTTTAACAAATCATAACTCAAATGGAAATCCAAATCACATTTTGAATTAGCAATGTATGCAACATTGTATTTGTTAGAAATTAATAAACATAGTTATCTAATGACATGCCATGCTTATATGTTGACTGGGGTTGGGTTAGACTTAATGCATCTCTTAAGTTGGGTTTCTATACATGACACTCATCATCACATGGGATTTTTAAGAAAAAATTTTGTGGTTGTGATTTTTGGTGTGTGGATTTCCTGGGTTGTTACGCCTAGCCCTGTCCGTGCCCTCCCAGCTGTCGTCACGGGGCTTGCCGCTGGGGCCGGCAGCCAACCCAAAGTACCACAAGCGCATGGCGCGGTCGACGTCATGGCGGTACCACCGGAGGTGCGTCCTCCACTGCTCTATCGATCGCTCTTCTGATTAGTAAACTTGATCGACATGTTTTTGCGCTATGTGCGCATAGTTGCTGGGATAGTTGCTCTATGTTCCTTGTCTTCGAATTTGAAGTACTACTAGATAGCGTGCTCGTGCGTTGCTACGGGACAACAAAACTTTTATACTAAGAACACACAGATCACACGATAAATAACAGTACTGTTTAATAAAGGTACTTTTGATTATCATGAAAAAAGTATTAACAGGCAATATTATCTCGTTTATAGAGCTAGAACCTCTTTATAGATGATATTCATTGGAAATATTATCATTTAACAGTTTCTTCCCCTTGTTCATGTTCTCCTCAACAATTAACATCCTGATATTAGATCTTGCTATGGATATAGATAGCGCTACGTACAATTGGCTATGTAAAAACGCTGGTAAGACAAAAAAACCTAGGTCTAAGCCCGTTGCAACGAAACAACATATACACAAGAGTTTGACTTATTCTCGGTAAGGTGAGGCTAGCTAGCAGCCACACAAGCATATTGCAAGTTACATACACGAGGGACACATGGCGAGTTACGTACACAAGGGGCACATGGCAAGTTACATGCCTACTAACCCATCTCCCGTCTCTAATATTGCAGCACGAACTTGTGGCTCCAATGATATTTCAAACCTTGTCTAATATTTCCAAACATCAAATATTTGCAAACCAGAGGGAGTACGACGAAAACTTAATGCAACAGAAAACTTGGATGACATAGATACAATCAGAACCTTTGTATAAAGTTAGTAAGGTTCCTAACAAAAACTATCAAAAACTATTAAGACACTCAAAATAGATATTGTCCACTGCAAAGTCTTTAAACCAGACTCTCCATTTTTTGAAGTATCTGTGTCAGCACTAATTAATCGGGAATGGGGACGTGAAGCAGATCACTAAGCACTGCCACCTTATCGAGAAGATCGTGAGCCTGTGAATGCTGCCGGCGAAGAGGGACGTCATCTCCTATGCGGTTTCCTGGTCAATCTCCTCAAGGTTGCCAACATCTTGAGCGCGTCCAAGGCAGAGCTGGTAAGGAGGGTAGGATGGGAGCTCGAGGAGGCCAGCGTTGCAGACCTGTTGATTGCATCGCTGTCCTGCAACCAATTCAAATGTAATCAGACATGCTGCAATCAATTGTTTCATAGCACCCTTATGTCCAACCAAAGGAAAACCAATAACACTCTTCAGTCAGCTAGTGCAACTTGCAAGAAAATCTTAACCTGATGCACTGCATATTCAGACTCTTGCAGATATCGGTCTTTTTTTTAGTTAGACAACATGGTGGTTTGAGTGTTTGACCATTCAATTTATCACAAGTAATACTCCTTTCTAACAGGATACTATTTCAATTAATTAAGCTTGCAAATAGTTCAAGTACTGATCAAGGTTACTAAGCTTGCAGTTCAGTAACTGGAATACTCTTTCGTTTGTGAAATCTTTTGATAGGTACAAGGTTAATGAACCGAGATTTCAAACCATGCAAATATTACAAGTAACAAATAAAATCAAAGTTAGCATACAAGAGCATACTAATCTGAAAAAGAGTAGACGATGTAGGGAATTAGAAATTCATGAATGAAAAAACAGATTAAGTTTACTACCAAACTTGATCAAACAAGGCACTATTTAGACCACAATGCTAATAACAAAGCTTTCATAAACCAAATGAATTAACAAGACCTCACTGGAAGACATCTTGGGGACAAGAGACCCATGCATTTACCTAAAACAATACATTATTCAGACGGCGCTGCACGGGCACAAGATCAACTCCTGGCAGGTGCAGGGGACATGGTTGAGTAGGAATTCAGACTATCTTTTGTACCACTTTAATTATAATAGGATCAGCTCATATTAAAAGTGTTTATGCAACCCCAATAATCCAAAGATATGACTGTTTCAAGATCTCAATTTCAGAAACATATAATAATCCAAAAGCAAAAGGAATGCACAATGTTTTCTACCATGAAAAATTTAAAAAAAAAATTCAGCATTGCAGGCTCAAAGAAGATAAGTTCATAATCACATATTTGAACCTGCACAAAGCAACACAAGTTCAAAATCATATATCATTGACTCCACCTTATTAATAAAATGATATGGATAAAACCAGGGTGAATCATCCCTGCTGATACTAATTTATCCTGTCACCACAACACTAACACAGTCCACTTCAACTCACACGGTCAATCTGCAACATTCAGTTTCAGAGACACAAAACCAATGGACAAAAGACCTGAGCACATTCGCGAGCAATCCAAGAAGGGGAGAGAGAGGGCTCAATCTCTGGTGGGTGGGAGGAAACCAACCTGAGAGGTGGTCCTCATGGTTTCCTCGTTCTGCCTATTCCAGACTAAGGTCCTCATGTGGAATCAAAACCTGCAAATCATTCTTCAAAGTGAAAGTAATTCTTTTTGTTTGATCAACATGCTGAAATTCATCGATGTTTGCTGGTTAAATGGGTTAATTAGTATTCGTGCAGAGTTGCATACTAAAATTATCAGTCGTATGCACGAAGAGTCATATCCACATAGTCACGTACTAAATTTTTCAACTTCCAAGCCTTACAGTTTAGTAATAACAAGAATATTATGTTTTCATTATTAAGCATAGAACTTTGCATCGAAACTATCCAGAAAAGAAACACCATATAGTGATGCTAACAGAGAAATCATCTCTAACACCAAACCTGCAAGCTCTAAGGTAACATTAACTGAAATTACCAACTCAAGGTGACATACCTGCAATTTTCCAAGAAGACACGGCAAAGAATAATCTGAGAGCCTACGAAGAAGACACGACAATGTTGAATGAGCAAAAGTTGTAAAAATATGTCATGCCAGTTCACATATATATCAAATATGAACAGAAAGATAACAACACATCATTGGAAATAAATCCCTACTACTATTAAGACAGATGGTTGTCTTTCTTCAAATTGTCAAAGTACTTTACTCATAGGTTCAGATCTAGCCTTTTTACTTTTAATTGTATATTAATAACAATTTGGTACACTGCTGTAGCAACAAAGGTTCCAGGCGACGGCACGCCCCTGGGCCGCCCATGGTTCCTTCTAAGGCCCTAAATGTCTCCCTTATATGGCACCAGGTCTACTTTGATATTTCCGTCCATTCTGACAATGATAACCTTCAAGTTCATGTCAGATTAGTTGGAGATGGTCTAAAATGCCCCTTTCCTCAAAGCCACACGGCCCTAAGCCTTCTCCCGTCACAAGCTCAAACGCCTTCTATCCTCTCTGTTGTTCTCTCTCCCGTGCCCCTCCTCCGTCCCAAAACCCTAGTCAGCAGGTGGGTTCATATCCAGTTGAGGTCGGCAGGGAAACATGCACAATGGATCACGTTGACCGTGGCGGCCCGAGTGGCATGGGTGGCACCGGCCCAAACGGCCAGGGCGGCACCACCCCGAGCAGTTGTGCCCCAAGCGTCATTGGGGGTGGCAGCCCGACTGACCAGAGATCCTGCAGCCAGAGCGCAATGGCCAAGCAGCCTGGCTTCCTGATTTACTGTACCTGAGGCTTGGAGTTCATCTGCCCCAATCCTCTCAGTGAAACAAGCACAAATAACTTGGTTTTCTTAGGGCCTGTTTGTTTCCATGGATGGGAGTAGCGCATATACTGCACCAGCTATGTCGTGGGGAAGCACTGATTCCCTCGCGTCATAGCGTCTCATGTTTCCTGTTGAAAACCCTACGTGATGCTGAAGGGCGGCTAGCAGAAGTGCATCAAACACAAGACGTCTGGTGTGATTCTGAGCTTTTTTCTGCCACAGATAGGATAAGACAAAACAAACAGGGCCTTCCTGCTCCCCTGTTTCTGTGCTCTGCAGCTTTGGAAGGTCATAAGGGGATGGGCTCTGTTTTCTTGTTCAGACAGGAGGTCGTTTTTGGATTTTTTGTTTATGATGGTTTATGTGACATGTCAAGAGTCTAGAACTGAAAGGTGGGATGAAAGGATGACTCTGCGAAATGCTAAAATACAGTATAAACATACTTATTATGAAATATAATTAAAACTTGCGCTATTTAAAAGAAGTGAACTGCTTATTAAAGTGAATGTAAATAAGAAGCTGCACACCAGCTACTGAAAATGTGGCTGAACGATACAATGAAAAACTTACTGTTTGTTAACAGAAAATACAGCAGCGCAGGCCCCCACTGTTAGAGCTTTTTGTATTAATAAAAAGAAGAAACTGTACAATAAAAGGGGCCACAACTATGAACAAAGCTCCCAGAGGGAGCCCAAGCCTGAGGACGGCTAGAGAACCAAAGAGCTAAGCAAGAGAATCTATACAAAGAAGAAAAGCAACTCGTTTATCTTCACACATTCTGAGAGCTTGAAGTCTAGCCTCACGAAAAGAGGACATCCAAAAAGTAAAAAGTAAAAGAAAGCCGGCTTCCTCACAAAACTTACTGTTTCATTCTTTAAGAAAAAGAAGCATACTATTTTCTCACGAGATGATTACATTAAGCACATTTTTTCTTCACCAATTAATAGTATAAAAAAATTCATGTATGAAATTAACATGTTGAATGATATTGGGAAAGAAATAGGATGAATAATTCATCTATGAAGTTAACATGTTGATGGATACTGAGAAAGAGATGCTTCATACTTTCATGATAAGCTTTGATTTGATCAGTAACTAAAACTACGCATGGTTTTTTGAAATTGCTTGTTGCCTCACATATGTTATGCACAAATCCTGATGCTGGGACTCCAATACTGGAGCAAAGAGGGCTGAGGGTCAAAAGGTCTTTTCATCTAATCTTTTAATGGGTTAACAACCAAAACTGATGGAAGTGTCAAATTAAGGCATAAAAGATAGACCCAGTGTCATATAAGGGAGAAAAAGATTTTCAGGGCCATAAAGGAAGCATGTCAGGGGCCTGAGGTGGTTCCATATGTTCTGGTCCCTCTGTGATCAGAAGTATGGATTTTAATTGGGTGGGATCTGTCAATCTGTGACGTTATGTCTTTGAACTCGTTCTGTTTGTAATTTCATTGCTTCAAGTAATAAAATTCAGGTTTCTCGTTGTGGGAAAAAGAATAAAGCATGTTAACTTCCATTGTCAAATAAGGAATTTTCTCACGAATAAAGGAAAAACTTTAACCTTATAAATGCCAAGAGCCAAGGCTCATGAGAGATGAGAGTTGTGTGAAGAAAAGAGAGTGTACCTTCACAACAGTCTCACTGAACCAAGAGATGAACCCGTATTTGTTGAGGTAGCCAGCCATTGCTATAAGTGCTGCAAACCATGTAAGCGTATCCCACGCCACAGACTCTGCCAAACACTCTTTCCATGTGACAACCCCTGTGATTAGGAGGACCCCTAGGCCAAGAATTGCTGCAGACACTGCATCCACACTCAACATTCCTCCAAAGATCCAAAGACCAACCTGGCATGCAGAGCAAGGGCATAATTTTTAGTGAAGAAAAGTGGATCCAATTCCTATTCAAGTTAGATGTGACAGGGCAATGAAAAAAACTACATTCAGTGGCAATGACTGTCAAGGATATGAACGTTACAAAGTCACAGGTCAGAGTTTAGTCGATTACTAAACCATTGATAACAAGAATCCTAAGACTCCAAAGACATCAAATGGTGCATCCACTCATAATAGAACACTATAAACTACTTATGAAAGATAGCTGATAATAATTTTAACCATCAGGATTCAAGGCATAAATAAAGAACACTAATAGCACAAGAAAAGTTCAAAGAATGCTAGTAAAGGCTATAGTAATGCCAAAGAGTTAAATGTTGCGAGAAAATGGCAAGTATATGTTTATATATCATTAATTATATACCGTAAGCAGCAGCGTGCCGGCCATGATCTTCTCCTCCGTGCTCATGGGTCCCATCTTGGTGAGCCGCTCCTTGGCCAGGCGTGGCGCATCGGAGCTGGCCTTCACCTCCGGCGGGTAGATCACATAGAGAATGAGCGGCACGAGTACGAGAGACAGCAGCCCCGGCACGATGGCGGCCTTGGCCCAGAGCGTCCATCCGATCCCCTAGCCGATGGTGGCAGCCGTGAGGTTGGCCGAGAGCGGGTTGGCCGCCATGGCGGTGAGGAACATTGCCTACGAGACAACGGAGGTCTGGAAGCAGGTGAGCATGAGCCAGGCCCCGAGCTTCTGCTCCGTGCTGTCGCCGGCGCGCGAGCCGCATGCCTCGCAGAGCAACTTGACGAGCGGCAGGAAGGTGCCGCCCGTGCGCGCCGAGACGTAGGGGATGACGGGGGCGAGGAGCGCCTCGGCGAAGACGAGCGAGTAGCCGAGGCCGAGCGAGGAGGAGCCGAAGGCGGCGACGAAGGCGTAGGCGACGCGGGAGCCGAGGCCGGTCTTGATGAACCCGCGCGCGAAGAAGAAGGCGAGCGCGATGAGCTAGGGGATCGGGTCGCCGAAGGCCGAGAAGGCCGCGGCGAAGGTGAGCGTCTTGGTGAGCACGGCGGCGCCGAGGCCGAGCAGGGCCATTGCGCCGAGGGGTAGCGACTGGGTGATGATGCCGACGATGGTGGAGAGGAAGATGGCGAGCAGCTGCCACGCATTGCGGGGCACGCCGGCGGGGGCCGAGACAAACCAGATGAGGACGCCGATCGCGAGGGAGGCGAGGAGCGGCTTGATGGCTGCGCTCTGTAGCGCAAGCTTCTTCGGCGGGGCGGCCGGCGCCGGGGACGGTGCTGGGACTGGGTCTGGGGTTGGGGCCGCCGCGACTGAGGCGAAGGTGGAGACGGGGGTGAGGCCGCGGTGGGAGGCTCCAGATGCGGCGGGGGGTGGGGCCAGCGAGGGCTTGGAGGGGAGGGAGTGGGAGTGGGAGAGGGAGATGGGCTTAGAGGAGGAGGAGGAGCGGCGTGGACGCGTTCGCGCGGCGAGCGGCAGGGGATCGCAGGGAAGGTAGACCGAGGGAGCGACGGGTGTGGGACTGTAAACATGGGCAGACGGACGAACCAAAATAAATATCGCTCCAAAAAAATATCTACACTTTGTTCTTTTTAGTTGTAAGAGATAAATGACATGATTGCTGATTTATGGCTGTTTTCCTTAAGTATAGGCCAAATTGCAAGTGTTAGCTAGTGATTTGACCTACATGTGTGTGCGCAAGTTGTTGTACATTAAGATGCTATGTGATCATATATCTGACAACAATAGTAGTTTGATTGCCAAATTCATCAGGCATTAGGATGCCAACCAGTCGACTACTAATAGTCATGATCCTGAAGGTGGTGGGACAGCTAGATTATGTCACTACAGATCTTTTCTGAATGGAAATAGCTGCACATGTGAAATGGTCCTATTTTTGTCTTTGGTATTTAGGCTGTTGGACAGACCATCATCATAATATTGTGGTCATCTGTATAATTCTTTGATCGCTTTTCTGAAAAGCGGGGTGTTATTCTTGATCATGAATACATGAGTGTGCATCCCTGGCATGTCCAACTGCAAGGAAATGCCTAATCAAATACCCACTGTGGGAACGTTCAGCAAGCTTAATACTGAATTATGTGAAATCTATCATCAAGGACATCTCCCCTTTCTGGGGAGATAATTGTTTTCGGCAATTCCAAAGTTCCTCCCTGCAGGAGAGTTGCCTTCTTACAGGTAGAGATAGCTGAGGAATTGAAGCGTGCTTTTTGTCTGCACCAGAAGAGTTTCGACACCTCCAGCTTCAGTTCATCCTGTCAGTCGGAGGAAATTGAGTAGGTGTTGTTGCCAAATCGTTTGTTTGTAGCCGATTGGCGACCAAAGCACGGTAAAGTGATGCAAAGCTTTGTTCTGAATGTTATATGTCTCAGAGAGCAGCGGGCCCTCCTGGCTGTGCTGCAAATACTTGATCTTTCTATATTTAGTTCTTGTGGTTGGATGTACAATGGCTGGTGTGTTCTCCCAAGAATTCTGATGCTAACTTTTTCTGGTGGGGAAAAGATGAATTCTGATGCAGTAGACACTTGATTCGTTGATCTAGTAATCATTCAGAAAATTGATCTTTTGCAGCTGCTAAATTGCTATGCCGGTCCTGGTCCAATCATGTTGCGAATTCAGTTTTGGATACGTTACGATGAAGAATTACTGAACATGTGGCAGAATTGACCAAAAACGACGTGGAGAAAACGATGAGGATTAAGGAGATTTCAGGCGAAGAAAGGAGAAGAGCGAGGAAAGCTCGTGTCACCCCTCCCTGTCTACTTTCTTGGTTCCAACGTGTGCCTCAGGCCCCTTATAAAATAAAATAAAATAAACGGTGTGCCTCGGGCCTCGGCACGACTCGCAAGCACGTCCTGCGCGTGCCTGCTCAGCTAGTACTCCCTCCGAGAAGTCAGACATTTCCCGTTCTTTGGGCCTTTCCAGCTAGCTTACATAACACTGTTAAATCAGTCCATAAACTCACCAGTCAAATGGGGTTTTTAACTTTGATCAATTATATAGCAAAAAAATATTAATATTTATAATACATAATAAGTATCATTAGATAAATCGTAAAATATATTTTCATAATAAATTTATGCAATGATATAAATATTGCTAATATTTTTATATAAAGCTAGTCAAATTAGAGAAAGTTTGACTGACACGTATTTAATAGCGTAATTCTTTTTTGACACAGAGGGAGTAGTCCTCAGTGGTCGTGAGGTGTGGTGTGACCCAAACCCAACTACCGTCTACCCACACCGACATCATAATGCAATTCGCGGTTTCGTTTCGGTGCCCAAGTATTTCCACACTTCTGGTCAAAGTATTCGTCCAGCTATTAGTACTAGTAAAGTTTTTCTCTCTTTCCCATACCAAAAAAAAATCATTTTTAGATGATTCAGGCCATTAGGTTGTCAGCGACTCGCGAGTCGCGAGCAGCAGGCAATGGTCCAGGACTCCAGGTTATTTTAGAGGGGAGGAAACAAAAGTACCTCAAAAAAAAAAACATAGCAAACCTCCCAAAGAGTTTTATGGTAACTTGTGCCTTTCTTGAACCACTGATAAGAAGGCATCCGACTTAGCTGAATTCCCAAGTTGGCATAACGAGAACCAGGGTTATCGAAGCCAGGAATAAAGGATTGCAGAGGTTCTGTGGTTTAGGAAGCTTGCGTTAGGTGATGTTTCGTACATAGCTCTTTTACACGCGTTGCCCGTTGCCGATTGCTTGCAAGAAATCTGGAGAAGTTAGCTGTCTTTTTTTTCTTCAAAGAATCAGGCAAGTGACCTGTTGATTATATTAAAAAAAATCAGACCAGATAAAGCAACAAGAAACCCCAAAGGGCCCGGCAACCAAAAAAAAAGTAACAACCAACCAACTAGCATCTAAAACAACTAACTAGCATTTAAAACAACTATAGACAACATCCGGTTAGATTGAGACCTCAACACGCGCCGCCTCATGAGAACTCTAAACCCTTACACCATTCTGGCCCTGTTCGCTTCTCTTGTAATCCGTCTTTTTCAGCTTGTTTTTTCAGCCGGAACAGTTTTTTTCTCTCACAATAAATCAGCCGGAACATTGTTTCGGCTTGTTTTTTCAGCGAAGCGAACGGGGCCTCTATAAACTAAGCTCTAAACCACTGTACAACCAAAGCCCCTCCACAAGCATCACACCACCACACATGCTGCAACAAAAAGTTAGCTATCTTATTTATGTTTGCGACAAAGTATAATGATCCTGCTCCAAGACGCCTTGTTTATTTTACCTGACTCGGTTATAAATATGCATGTGTCGCTACCTCTCACAACCATGCCACGATAAACCACACGCCAAATCATCTCCAAATTCAACAAAATCGATCTGCATCACCTCTCTAAGCTAATTCGATTCGGTGACTCAGGTGTGTTCAGTCTCTCTTGCTCATATATATACTCAGTCAAATGTGCATGATGAAATTTGATCACTGATGCCAAATCTTCTTCAAGCTTATCCGTTGTATTATTGATAGCACTGAGTAACCTTGAGCAAACTCAAATTCATGGTTGGAGTCCCTTTTTTCCTTTTAAAAAAACGAGTTTCCTTAGCTTTTAAGAAAGCCATTGGTTGGAGTCCTTTCATTTACTGCAATTGATCTTTCAGTACTGTGAACACGCCATTACACTGTAAAAATGGTAAACGACGAACAGATGTCAAGAAAGGAACAACTAAATTGGAAGGAGTACACGAACTTTGTTCTACTTTAGAGAAACGGGATTGTTAAGCCAACATTCCCACCTGGAGAACAAAAAGTTCAATTAATTTATGAAATCTTTGTGTTCCCAATAAGATCTTTATTTTTAGAAAACAAAATACTCTTTATTCTGTTTTCTGTATAGGCATGCACTCAACTAGACATATTGTTACAAGTTACAAAATAGCCATAGGCTGTTTGGAAATGCTAACAAATAGTGGAAAAGTGCTAAACATAGCAGCTGCTTCATAGAACTAAAGCAAAAGACAACCATTAAATGTCAAGTCTATTAGTAAACAAGATCTTTATGCTGTGAAAAAACCAACAAAAATAGAATGACTAAGAAACACCCCGCTATTATAAAACACGTAATGGTGTACTCAAAATGAAGCCATGAAATACCATAAAAATAGGATACGATAGAGGAAACTAAGAGAATTACGTACGGATGCTTCACACAAGTTCCTTCACTACTCATTCTTGGCATGTTAATCTAATTCAAGTAGAAAAGTTGTACTCCTCCCGATCATAAATATATGACACTTTGACAAATCCAATTAAACTTTTGAAAATTTGACAACATATAGCTCTCAAAATATTTAGTTTAGAGACATAAAGATCATATGAATAGATTTGTCTTGAACAACATTTTCGCATACATTTATTAGACATTACAACTACATTTTAATAGAAAATTGTGGTTTAAATTGCATAGTAATAAGTTAGCACTTCCTAGCACTACTTTGAGTGCCAACATAAGATAATACATGGGACCCTCGATCTTGCGGGCCCTGTGTGGTCAATCATCTTCACAAAGGCACACCGCTCAGGGCCTCCCCAACGCTACACGCTGTCTTGTAGCCTCAACGTCCACGTATACACGCCGTGTACAGATCACACAAAACAATAGCCCCGCAGTATGTCAGTGCTGCCTGCAGAGGTAACGACGGCTTGGGCTGACAAATTGCTGAAGCTCCCATGTAACAAGCGTTGGGTGGATGAGACCATAGTCTACACAGCTTTATTCCTGGTCTGTCAAAGGTAAAGAGAAAAAGGTGAAAGTGATGTTTGTGACAGGAGGAGAGGCCTGCGTTGAGAGATCGTTAGCTTCGTGTAACTTTTTATACGAGGCATACGATTCTAGTAGCTGTGTTGTGGCTGCCCTTATATGTCATATGCCAGGCCTGCCTCTTCCGTCACCAGATGATTATTTTTACTTGAAGAGTGAAACTTTCTACTGATCTCCTTTGTCTCCTTCCATTTCTTTGTGCGCCTTTTTAAGGGCCTTCAAAAGATGCCAAGAGGTACGTCTGATTTTATAACATGGGAGTTTGGTACCTCAAGTACTCTATTTTCTGATGTCTAGGCATAGTACCTCCGGTAACCTCTTGAAGGACAGTAAAAGGACTCATTATTTTTATAAGACATGTACATTTCTTCAATGATTTAAAAATATGGAGGGCACGAATGTAGATTTATTTATTTGCTCCTTCTTGATTTGTCCGTATTTATGCATAATATATGCAGACTTCGCATTTTTTTTATAAAGTAAGACTTTATTATTTTTTTTCAAAAATAATATATCTAGTTGATACAAGTCTTAGAAAAAACTCCCTGAGTAGCACATGGCATGTAGGAGTATTATTACGGAAGAGATCACATACACTGTAGCCACCATCAATATATAGACTAGACCACCGCCTATGTGCCTAAGAAAGAAAAGTCTCTTTGACCACCTGCACCAATTTTTATGGTGGTAGATTTAGGCAATTTAGATACAATTAAACGGGGTTACTTTACCTTATATCTTTCATAATGGTAGATACACGTAATTAAAAAGACAATTTAGAGGTTATCTTTCATTATCTTTTGTAATGGTAGAGGTAGATAATTTACATGCAAATTTAAGAGTTATTTTTAAATTATCTTTTGTAATGGCATAGTTGGGGTATTTAGATGCAAATTCAGGAGATTATTTTTAAATTATCATTCATAATAGCAAAGGTGGATAAATTAGATGCAAATTTAATGAGCTTCTTTATGTATTTTACATAATAACAGAGGTGGGTGGTTTTTTAAAAAGAGAATAGATAAGCATGTCTTGTAGAAGTCAACGTGGAGCCTCTCTGTGTTAAAGGCCTCTTTTTTTTTAAAAAAAAAGTAGTTTACTCTGCTTTTAGAAAGCCATAAAGTGCCGTTAGAGGCATTTAATTAGTAATATTAAGATTAATATTAACGTGTTATAAGATTCGTCGTATATATCTAAAATTCTGCACTCGAAATAATGCAGCGCGTGCAAGAAGAGAAGCTGAAGTAGCAAATAAGCCGTGATCTCCATGCCGATGACGGCGTCCAACATCGGTGGCAGCAGGGGCGAGCCGTTGCGGTCCGCCTCAGCCATCGTCGCCAGCACCGAGAGCGGCCAGCACCTGCTGAAGATCGACGGCTACTCCGGCACCAAGGATGTCCCGACCGGCAGCCAGATCAAGTCCCGATCGTTCCGCGTCGGAGGCCACAGCTGGCACATCTGCTACTACCCCAACGGTCGCAACTCGACTTGGTCGCAAATTTTATGATTTTTATTTGCATTATTTTTTCATGTAAAAATATTTGGATAATTTTTTGATTTTTTTACTATTTTTTTGGATATATTTTTTAAAAAAATATACTTATAGTTCGATTTACCTCCTTGAACTTTTAACTAGTCCGATTTATCTTCGTGAACTTTTAACTAGTCCGATTTACATCCCTAAACTTTTAACTAGTCTGATTTACCTCCCTCTACATGGCACCACGTCAGCAAAACCACCAACAAAACTGCTAGGGTAAAAAATAAACGGGTTTGAAAGTTGAAGGGGGTCAAACAACCGGTTTTATAGATCAGGGAGCTAAATCGGACCACCGCAAAAGTTGAGTGGGGGCGAAAGGACTTTTTCCAACCAAAAATTCTACTCCAGCTGTCTACGGCTAGTTGGCCATGCAGCCCGAGCCCGTCGGCCCGGCCTAATGCCCGTTTTTTTGGCCCGGCCCAAGCCTGGCCTGGCCTGGAGGAGCAGGTCGTGCCTGGGCCTTACCCCAGACACGTGGGCTGGCACGGCATGGCCCGCTCCTGTACTGCAGGCCTGCTGGCGGCCCGACTTGCCACAGTGCCACCGCCTGGCCTCCTCCCTAATCCTAACACCCCGTTCCCCAAATCCCAATCCCCACACCCACACGCAGGCGCAGCCACAGCCCCTCGGCCCTCGCTCCGTCCCCGAGTCGTCGCCCTCCACTCCTCCCCCTCCCCAAGGCCGGCCTCCACTCCTCCAGTCCCCCCGCCTCCGAGCCTCCCAGCGCTCTCATCCCCGGCCGCCGCCGGAGCTCAAGGCTGGCTGGGTCTTCCCCCTTCTCCTCCCTCCTCTCTCTCTCCGAATCCATCACCAGCCATGCCTGAATCCGTCGTCCCCTTTGCCGGATCCGGCCTGTCGGCACACAGATATGTGGTGCCATGGCGGGAGGCGGCTGCGGCGGCGCGGTGGTGCGGTGGCGGGGCTGTGGTGCAGCGGCAGCGCGGCGGTGGCGCGGGAGCCACGTTGGCTACTCCGGTGGCCCTACTGCGCCGTCTGTGGCCCAGCTGCTCCGGTGGCCGTAGCTCATGGAGCTGCGGGCGGCATCGAGGCTGGTGCCGCGCGGGACGCCCCTCCCTCCCCTCGGCCCTCGCGCATGGGCGCCGATGCCGCGCCCCCACGTGGACGCCTCTCCCTGCCTCCACTCTGGCGGCTCGCGCTTCCTCCCATTCCGCCTCTCTCTGGCTGCTCGCGCTTCATCGTGGGCCCGGGCTGGCCCGGCATGCTGGACTGAACGTGCTTCTCGGGCCGGCCCGGCCCGATAAACGGTCCAGCAGGCTGTGCCTGGGCGGCACGGTACCGCCTCGGCACGGCCCGGTAGGCACGACGTGCCGTGCCGGCCCGAACCCCATCGGGCCGTGCCTGGCATGGGCCTAGGCCGTGCGGGGCTGGGCCGGGCTGGCCCGTTGGACATCTATATCTACGGTCCTGCGGATGTGGACTGGCTGCTAAAGGGCCAGCATGGGGAGTAGAGGAACCTCAAGCCCATCCGGCCCACCAACTTGGGCCTTTTACAAACATCACATCCCTCTTCCTCTTCGCCGGCAGGCACCATCGCCACCACCATGGCCGCCGCCACCTCCGCGGCAGCAGCCGTCTCCTCGTCGCGTTTGTATCCTTTCCTCCAACCCACCCCCAACCCCACCTTCGTTTCCTTCCCGCGGCGACCGCTTCCAGCAACCTCCCTCTCCCTAGCCCTGTCCGCGCCCTCCCAGCTGTCATCGCGGGGCTTGCCGCTGGCGCCGGCGGCCAACCCGAAGTACCACAACGCGAAGGTGGAAGCGGGATACGAGGACGTGGCCGGTGAGGAGCTCCTGCGGCGGTTCAATTGGCAGGTGTCCCGCGCGGGCGTCACGGAGGAGATCAAGCGGCGGCGCAGGCACGAGGACTCCCGGGACAAGCGCAAGCGCAAGGCGCGGTCGGCGTCGCGGCGGTACCGCCAGAGGTGCGTCCTCCACTGCTCTATCGATCGCTCTTCTGATTAGTAAACTTGATCGACATGTTTTTGCGCTATGTGCGTATAGTTGCTTGGATAGTTGCTCTGTGTTCCTTGTCTTCGAATTTGAAGTACTATAAATGACATGATTGCTGATTTATGGCCGTTTTGCTTAAGTATAGGCCAAATTGCAAGTGTTAGCGAGTGATTTGACCTACATGTGTGTGCGCAAGTTGTTGTACACTAAGATGCTATGTGATCATATATCTGACAACAATAGTAGTTTGATTGCCAAATTCGTCAGGCATTAGGATGCCAACCAGTCGACTACTAATAGTCATGAACTCATGATCCTGAAGGTGGTGGGACAGCTAGATTATGTCACTACAGATCTTTTCTGAATGGAAATAGGTGCACATGTGAAATGGTCCTATTTTTGTCTTTGGTATTTAGGCTGTTCGACAGACCATCATCATAATATTGTGGTCATCTGTATAATTCTTTGATCGCTTTTCTGAAAAGCGGGGTGTTATTCTTGATCATGAATACATGAGTGTGCATCCCTGGCATGTCCAACTGCAAGGAAATGCCTAATCAAATACCCACTGTGGGAACGTTCAGCAAGCTTAATACTGAATTATGTGAAATCTATCATCAAGGACATCTCCCCTTTCTGGGGAGATAATTGTTTTCGGCAATTCCAAAGTTCCTCGAGAGTTCAATTGCGCTGTACCAACAATGTAGAAAACTCCTGACTCCTGAGCCCGATCGTTCCACTGCAGGCACTTCATGGGCCCATATCCTTTCAACGATGACCAGGGGCTGAAGGAGCAGGCCTCTGATGACGAGGAGAACGACAACTGGGAGCTCCCTGCAGGAGAGTTGCCTTCTTACAGGTAGAGATAGTCGAGAAAGTGAAGCATGGTTTTGTCTGACGAAGAGTTTCGACGCCTGAATCTTCAGTTCTTCCTGTCAGTCGGAGGAAATTGAGTAGGTGTTGCCAAATCGTTTGTAGCCGATTGGCGACCAAAGCACGGTAAACTGATGGAAAGCTTGGTTCTGAATGTTAGTATGTCTCAAGAGCAGACCCTCCTGACTGTGCTGCAAGCCTGCAACTGCAAATACTTGATCTGTGTTGAGTTCTTGTGAAAGAGAAACTGGTGTGTTCTTCTCACAAGAATTCTGCGGCAAATTTTCCTGGTGGGGAAAAAGATGAATTCTGATGCAGTAGACACTAGATTTGGTGATCTAGTTACTCAGAGAAACTGTTCTTTTGCAGCTGCAAAATTGCCATGCTGGTCCTGATCCAATCATGTTGCAAATTCAGTTTTGAATACGTTACGATGAGGAATTATTGAACCTGTGCCAGAAGTGACCCAAAACGACATGAAGGAAACGATGGGGAGATTTCAGACGAAGAAAGGAGGAGAGCAGAGGAAAGCTCGTGTCGTGTCACCCCTCCCTGTCTGCATATAAATTTTAATTTTAATATGCCACGTTATTATATTCCGGGTTCCGGCGTTATTCGACGTGTGATGATTGGGGCTTGCTTTCCTCCTCGTCTTTTGTTTTCTATTTTTTTCCATTTCAGATTTCAGATAGAGATCAAAAGCTACACAGAAGTACAGAACACAGCGCAGCAACGGAAAGTGCAAGGTGTTCGTTCCTTCTCGAAGCAACGCAGCATCCGGCTATCTCTGGACCCACCAGCCGACCGAGTTGTCTTCTCTTTTATTTACCTTCGTATGGATAATTGACGCTTTAATGAAAAAAACCAATGGAACCTCCCCAACTTTGAAAATTTGTGTACTTCATCCATCCTAAAATTTAGGATACCAAATAAGTATTATTTTGAGGAGTCAAACAATCTCAACGTTGACCAAACATATACAAAAATAATACTAAAATTTACGAAACCAAATAAATATTATTAAATTACTCACGTCATATATTTTGAGGAGTCAAACAATCTCAATTTTAACCAAACATATACAAAAATAATACTAAAATTTACGATACCAAATAAGTATTATTAGGGTCATATATTTTTATAGTAAACCTATTTGGGCTCTGTTCGCTTCGCTGAAAAAACAAGCCAAAACACTGTTCCGGCTGATTTGTTGTGAGAGGAAAACACTGATTCGGCTGAAAAAACAAGTTGAAAAAGACGGATTATAAGAGAAGCGAACAGGGCCTTGAAAATACAAACGATGATATTATTTTTTATAAATCCAGTCAAAATTGAGCTTAGTTGACTCCACGTAGTGTGAGATGAAAACTTATTTTAAGATGGAGGGAATACTAGTTTTAAAATAATTATATTTATTTAAAAAAACAAAAAAGTATGTCTGTGGATTTACCTTGAAAGCTACTTGCATAATGTTGTTTTTTTTCAAATCGGGGAATTATAAACAAAAAAACTCGGCATGGTACCTTTCCAAATTACATGTGAAAAAATAAAATATTTTATTCGGATTCTTCCGTTGTCCTCTTCTTTAGTGGCTTTGCTTGATGCAGCCGATGAACATGGTCTTGTTGAACAACGAAGCTAGAGTGTAGTCTTTATGCCGAATTCAACGATCAACCTTAAAATATTAGACATGTGGCAAGATCCAATATTCTGAAACCAATCTGAAACGCATCTGAAACAATGAAAGAACATCAACAATTGAATGGTTGGGTACAGTATAGGTTGCAGATTCATCACCTCTAATCCCTTGATTTGTAATGTTGGATGTTCAATTTCCTCTCCACAACCATCGACGATGATGTCAATGACCCAAAGATACTGTCCTCATAGGGAGTGCCTAGAAGCACCCCTCCCCTTTGCAGATGGATTGACCTTTTGTCGATGAAATCAATGCTTGCAACAACGACCTCGTTGTGGTCATCCTCAAAGTCATCGCAGGTAGCAAGCTCCTGACCAAAATCATCTACCGTCACTAGATTTATTAGACTAAATCTAAATAAACTAGATCTAGTAAACAAAAGATGGATCCCCTCTCCTTGTCACCGACGAATTCAACAGCGATGAAGAAGAGAGGTCCTAAACGGCAGCAAGAGGAGCCTGAAACGGATGGCAATGGTTGTCTCAAAGGGGCGGGGATAGGTCGATGTCATGTTTATTTGATATTATAACGACATTTAAATAAGTAATAAAGGCGGGGATAGATCAATGTCGTGTTTATTTGATATTATAACTACATTTAAATAAGTAATAAATAAAAAAAATCCAGAGGCCATATAAAAAGTTAATGTCCGCAATTAGTACCTTGTGTATCAAACCAATTAGTACCATGTAACCTTTGTTTGGATACTGTCGGTGTTTCGAGTAAACACCAACGAGTAAATTTATATTATTACGCGTCTGGCCCAGATGATGTGCTAAAAAGACACAAGGTTTATACTGGTTCGGGCAGAATGTCCCTACGTCCAGTTCGTGGCTGCTGCTCGTGTTATTTGCACTGAAAGGTTCGTAGTAGGGGGTACAAACAGGCGAGAGAGGGACATTTCCCAAGTCTCTGATGGAAAGGTCGAACGGACGCTGAGAGCTTGGTTGCTGCTCAGCTGTGTGTGATGTGATGCGTGGTGTGTTGAATCGATCCGTCCCCTTAGTGGAGTGTCCTGCCTCTCCTTTTCTAGATCAAGGGGAAGCAGGGTTTACAGATGGGAGAAAGAAGAAGAACCAGAGGCGAAGGCGGTCCTTCAGAGGTGCCGGGTCTTCCTTTTCCTCTGAGCGAGCCCCGCTGATATGGCAGACGATGCCAGGGATAGCTTCATGCTAGGTGCATGTCTGCTGATCCTGATAGGGCCGTGCTCTGGCTTTGTCAGCAAGTGGTCACGTCCCATCTCGCCCCGGCGGGCGGCGCGACGGACCAGGGTGCCAAACCATGACCTTTCAGGGAGCAGACAACGTAGTGACCCCACGTTCGTTACTGCAGATGATGTGAGCTTCTTCCAAGACCATAGTGGTTGTCGTATGCTTCCGTCAGGATCCGGGCCCGAGGGCAAATGCCGGTGCCCATAACACTGTAGGACAAATGTCGGCGCCCACAACACAGTTCAGGCTCTGACATGCCTGGAAGGGCTTAAAGCGCCCGTCTTGTCATATCCTGACGGTACTTTCCTGCAGGCAGGGTATGGTCCTCGGTATTGCGGTTGACTTGAGTGCCCCGCCTTATCTGTGCGCGTAGTTATGAAGGAGCAGCACCCAGACGTTGGGCAAGGCGGAGCCTGCCCCCGGACGTCGGGCGAGGCGGAGCCAGCCCCCAGACGTTGGGCGAGGCGGAGTCTGCCCCCGAACGTCGGGCGAGGCGGAGCCAGCCCTCGGGGGTCGGGCCAGGTGGAGTCTGCCCTCAGACGTCGGGCGAGGCAGAGCCAGCCACCGGACGTCGGGCGAGGTGGAGTCTACCCCCAGACGTCGGGCGAGGCGGAGCTAGCCCTCAGGGGTCGGGCAAGGCCTAGTCTGCTCTTAGACGTCGGGTGAGGTGGAGCCAGCCCTCGGGGGTCGGGCGAGGCAGAGTCTACCCTCAGACGGAGCCATCCCTCGGGGGTCGGGTGAGGCGGAGTCTACCCTCGGACGTCGAGCGAGGCGGAGCCAGCCCTCGAAGGTCGGGCGAGGCGGAGTTAACCCTCGGTCGTTGGGCAAGAGGTGCAGTCGTGTTCTTGTCTGTTTGGAAGCATCAATGTTTGATGGTTATTAGCTCCTCCTCTTTGGGCACACCAGTATTTAGTCCCCGATAGTATCCCCTGAGCCCCCGGGTGATTCGGATAGAAATGCCCGGGGGTGTGATTCGACTTGCCAGAGGGTGCGCGCGAGCGCACCCGACGGGCGTAGCCCTTGAGCCCCCGGGGGATTCGGATAGAATCGCCCGGGGGTGTTTCGGACCCTTTGCAGGTATGGCTGTGAGATTTGGTGATTTTTTAGCCAGACAGTTTGATTGGGGTCCCGGTATCCCATTTGCGGAGATCTAGTCAGGAAAAGCCTGGCTGAGACTTAATCGTGGGCCAAGGTGCCCATAGCGCTCGTGTGCCTAGCCGCTGGCCGCTTGTGGAACCCAGCTCTCTCCACCCTTTGTCGTATGGGTGTTTGGCACGACTGTCGAAACCGTTGATGGGACAACCCTCGAACTCCTGGGCCCAAGCGGTCTGGAGAAAAGCTTCTTGACCCATATCCCTTTTGCTAGTAAAGAGTCTCGATCCGCCCGGGGAGGCAAAATGTCCAGCGCGTCTACGGAGGGAAAGGATAGGGATTGCAGGCGTATATCCCACGACGTGACGTGGTGGTGGATCGTGGCAGGCGTGGAGATCTAGGTGAACGGTTGCCTTCCTCGCATCTGTCGCCCCTATTAAACCAAAGGGTTCGCCCCCAGGGTTTCGTACTTTGCCTTCTTGCCTTTGCATCTACAACCTCCACCACCAATCGCCTAAGCATCCGTTGCCCCTATTAAACCAAAGGGTTCACCACTCCAATCCTCCAATGGAGTTGGTGCCGCTCTAATTTCACTTCTTGCCTTTGCATGGTCAACCTCGTGGACCACCATCGAGGAGCCTAAGCATCCCGCCCGGTGATGAGGACGTGTTTCACCACCATCGTCCTTCGCTCACTTCGCGAGATCCACCACTCCAATCCTCCAATGGAGTCATGGTGCCGCTCTGATATCACCCTTCAGCGCCTGGAGGGCCTCGTTCGCCGTGGTCTCCTTTGTGCGTGGACCGTCGTACCACCCTAAAGAAGTGGCGACTACCGGTGATGATGAGGACATGTTATTTCGCCAAGAACAACAAGGCTACGTTGTGTCCTTCGCTCACTTTCCCACAAGAGGTGGCATTCATTGGCCACCCAAGCCCACAAGTTTCTTCGGGATTGTTTGCACTACTATAAGGTAAAGCTACATCATCTTAATCCTAAAAGGAATCTACCACATTCAATCACGAAGGAGAGGGCGTGAAGGGGCCAGGATCATCGGCCCACATGTGAGGGTGGTCACGGGATTAGTCCCCACTTTGACATGATGGTATGGTGTCACTCGAGGGATGGCGTCACCCTCCTAAAGAAGGTGATGGAGAAGAAGCACGAGCTAAGCGAGGCACCCCAATGCGGCTAGAATGGGGTACATTGGGATAAGTTTTCTTTCCTTGTGGCATTGAACTCCCAACCCCTTGACGCTGATGTCGAGATAGGAAAACAGTCAAATCGCCCTTATGGTGGTCATTGGCCGAAGGACCCGTTGGTGCCAACCACATCATCTATCGACCTCCAACAAGAGGTGGCATTCGCATTGGTTCTACGTCGAGGAGAGGAA